GAGGCCGGCTAGATCAGGCATGATCACAGCCGTAACAAGTAAGTAAGTACTAACCAACCGTATATAACGTGTCAGAAGCAACGGAGCGTATCGCTGCAGAACTAGGTGTGGGTCTTGTCTATCGTCCGACAGCTACCACGGTTCCTAGAATCATACGAATCAAGGACCAACTGGATGTACGTGAGCAATCTGGTTTTGTTCAAGTACCATTTCTCGTGTGTTCTCGCAATTGTACAGGACGACGACTCACGAATACTGGAGCACAAAAGGGCAGTACGCAGAGGCGACACATTGTTTCAGGCCGCTACCTACATCCTCGAGGAAGGCCACGAATTTAACTCCACGGGCACGCGGACAATGGCGCAAGCCAATAATAACACGAGGCGAGCACTATTTGAGGCCTGTGTATCTTGCTCCAACTCTATCAACAGACATGTCAATATACCCCCTGCTATCATGCCCTTCGTTTGCGCGGCCCAGTTCCTGTCGAACGACGTGGACTCAACCTATCACGAACGCTATTCCCTCCCTATTTTCCATCGTATTTGAAAAACAAAACACGTCAATTCTTGCTTTAGTCTTATTGTCTCTGAAGATGGCCCCTTGTATGGAGCCGAGAGCTCAGACAGATGCAAGTGCTATCCAAGTGATCGTGCCTTCGACTTATTTGCAACAAGAACCCCAGCCTTTTATACTCGCTTTCATTTATAGAACCCAATAACTTTTGCACAGGAAGTCAATCCAAAATAAAGAAGGCCGGAATGGTCTCACAATGTATAAAATTGTATAATAAACACATCTCAAATGCGCAGCAGATATACAGACAAGAGACGCAGGCGTGTTCCCTTCTTTCTTCCTCCACTCTCCCCCTTCCTTTATGAACGTGAAGAGCCAGATGAGGATGAAGAAGATGAAGAACCGGACCTAGATCCCGAAGAGGAACCAGATGAGGAACTAGATGAAGAAGAAGAATTCGAGGAAGAGGGTGAGGACGAAGAGGACCGACC